CCCTGCCCGGCTTCAGCAGCGACCTGCCACGAGGATGTCTGTACATTTTGCGATGGCGGTGACAGCCTGTTACACCAGTTTTATGATAACTCCACTTTTGTTCCCCCACATTGGCTGGCTGGGGGATCTGAAGCAAGTTCTCTGATTGGCTAAGGCACCAAGCTGTTTTATATTCCCCACTCCCACCACCCTTTTTGTAAAGTAGGCCCAACTGGAGGATCTAATCCAGATGTGTCCTGGAAGAATCCCGGGTATCGGTTTCATCACAAGGCTGGGCACCTTGTTCTCCACTCCCACCCCCCTCTGTGTGAAGACACAGGGTGTTCATTATAGGCCTCAATTCTGGGGACAGCGGGCCTGAGATTTGGAAAAGGTTCTGCGATCATAACAGAGGTTACAAATCACAATTTGGCCCCTCTAGCTGGTTTAGTAGTGGCTGGCCAGCTTGTTCCACGCTCCTACCACCATTTGTGTACAGAGAAGCTGCTTTCCTTTCAGTCTGTGGACAGGTAGACCTCTGCTTGTCTCACTGTTCAGGCTGTTGGAAAAGCTTAGACCAGAAGCTGCCCTGCCCCTCCAGCCCTCCCACAGGCGCTCTGACAGACTCCCATAAGGAAGCAGGTCTTCGCCAATTCCAGTTCAACCAGTTCAAGCTGCTTCCTCCCCAGTCGGTTTTCCTAGTCTGAATGAGAAAGGTCCAGATCTCCCACTCCGGGATCGACAGGGATGGCCGTGTCCCGGGGGAGCTGTGATGCTGTGTTAGAGCCGGGATTAAGAGACAGTGCTGCCACAGTGGCTACATGAGACTGACCTGCTTTCTGTTTTCTCTCTGCTGCAGTGCGACACAGAGAGCGACTCTGGAGACAGGGTGAGTCTGCGAGTGTTGGTGACCATCTGACCTGGCCTAGGGACCCATGACCCGGTCCAGCCTGGAGTGTCTCGGACTGCTGTGTCAGTGTTGGGGGAATGTGTACCTTGTCTGAAGGCAGTCAGACTCCACTGACACTGACAGAGCAGTGTGAGACTCTCCAGGCTGGACTGGACTGACTGGACTGTGATCTTGATTAGTGATTTATTTAGATTATAATCAGACTCCACTGATACTGACAGAGCAGTGTGAGACACTCCAGGCTGGACTGGACTGACTGGACTGTGATCTTGATCAGTGATTTATTTAGATTATAATCAGACTCCACTGATACTGACAGAGCAGTGTGAGACACTCCAGGCTGGACTGGACTGACCGTACTGCGGGCTGGATTAGTTATGAACTGTGATCATAATCAGACTCCACTGACAGAGCAGAGTGAGACTCTCCAGGCTGGCCTGGACTGACTGGACTGTGATCTTGAGTGGTTATTGATTGGGATTATAAATGGTCTCTCTCTCGCTGTGTTCAAGGTCTCTGACGACATGGATCGGATGTTCACGGTGACCACCAGGAAGGGTAAGGAAAGCCTCCCTCCAGTGAAGCTCCGGCTTTTTATTCCTCACTCAGGCACTCGGGTCGGAAGTTGGGGAGGGGGTTAGGTTTTTATTTAGAATAAATGAGTCCTAGTCACATGAACTGGGGGTTAGTACAACTAACTGTCAGCTGTGATGGTGTTAAATCCTAAAGAACATGGCAATGGTTCTGAAACCACGACGCATGCAGTCCTGTCGAGTGGTTCCCGGGAACATGGGTTCACACACACCGTGGAGAGCCAGGTTTATCTGGCACTGACTGTGCCAACTACAGCTCCCATAATCCCAAAGGGCCAATTCCTGTAGTGTTCCTGCATCATGATTCGCTAAGATGCCTGGTGGTCAGGGGGACTGGTCTGCCAGGAGCCCACTGGGAATGACCCCATGTGGGCTTATTTCTGAAACAGTGGGACAATGCAATGGGATGGAATTCCAAATGATTGCTTAGCATGGCACAGGACACTGGTAGCTTTCAGAGCCATGGCAGAGGTTCTGCACTGGGTCGTCTTGGCACGCCGTCACTCCGCGACGGTCTTCCCAGAAACCCACACCCTGCTCCGTTTCCAGCCAGGGTGCCAGCAGCCAGCTCCGGAGTGTATCGGGGTGCAGCAAGAGTAACTTCTCTCTCCCTCCCTGTCAGTGCCCGAGACGGCAGTGGGACCCGTGAACGGCCGCCCCTGTGACTCCTGTGGCCCTGCCCGGCTCTCGGTGACGCCCCGCGTCTCGGGGCTCCAGCGCAGCCAGGAGAGGAGCCAGGACCCGCTGCCGCCCCCCCGCGATGCCCTGCTGCTGCTGCCGCCCGGCCCCGCGGCCCCACGCCACAGCCCCTCCCCCGCCCCGGTCCTGCCTTCCCAGCACCCCCGGCTCGGGCCCTCCCCCGCGCCCCAGCCCGCACAGCCCCAGCTCAACGGAGACGGCCGACCCCCCTCCCACGGCCCCAGCCCCCCGCAGCCCAGGAACAAGACGCCCCTGTCCTTCGGGCCCGCCCCGCAGACCGTCTACTCCTCAGGGCTGGGACTGAGCACCGTCAGGTGCGTGTGTGCTGGCGGGGGGGGGTTCGGGTCGAGGTCCATCTGCTGTGGCGGTGCTACAGCGCCGCCGGACTGTCGGGCCCGGCTTGTCTCCGGGTTCAGCAGTGTACTCCTGTATTAACTCTCTCCCTCTCTCTCTCAGGAGCAGTACTCCTGTCAAGCGACCCTCCTCCAACCCCCACTCCCAGTCCCACCGCTCCTCCACGCCATCATCCACTGGAATGGCCATCTCGCTGGGGGGGTCCGGGGCCCCTCCCTCGTCTTCCCACAGCTTTGGTGGCGCCCTGCGGCCCCCCTCGCACCCAGGGTCTGGGGGAGCTGGACTGTTCACCCCCTCCCCCGGTTTGCCTCCTCCACCACCTCTTCTTCAGGTGTCCAGCCATCACCACAGCACTGTCCCTGCCAACACTGCTGCCTTCACAGGTAGATATGGACACACTGTAGCACTGTACTGACGCACACTGTCGCTGTCCACACCGCTGTCC